AGTAGATACACTAGTGGGTAGGGATCGGATACAGACGGACCTAGACCAAATAGAGGATTTGGCCGAAAAAAACCCTGATGAGGTTCAAGAATCCCATGCACTGCTACAGATTAGGGACCGAATGGCTAAGTAGCAGTTCTGCAGAAAAGGACCTAGGGGTCACAGTGGACGAGAAGATGGATATGAGTCAACAGTGTGCTCTTGTTGCCAAGAAGGCTAACGGCATTTTGGGCTGTATAAGTAGGGGCATTGCCAGCAGATCGAGGAACGTGATCGTTCCCCTTTATTCGACATTGGTAAGGCCTCACCTGGAGTACTGTGTCCAGTTTTGGTCCCCACACTACAAGAAGGATGTGGAAAAATTGGAAAGAGTCCAGCGGAGGGCAACAAAAATGATTAGGGGTCTGGAGCACATGACTTATGAGGAGAGGCTGAGGGAACTGGGATTGTTTAGTCTCCAGAAGAGAAGAATGAGGGGGGATTTGATAGCAGCCTTCAACTACCTGAAGGGGGGTTCCAAAGAGGATGGAGCTCGGCTGTTCTCAGTGGTGGCAGACGACAGAACAAGGAGCAATGGTCTCAAGTTGCAGTGCGGGAGGTCCAGGTTGGATATCAGGAAAAACTATTTCACTAGGAGGGTGGTGAAACACTGGAATGCGTTACCTAGGGAGATGGTGGAATCTCCTTCCTTGGAGGTTTTTAAGGCCCGGCTTGACAAAGCCCTGGCTGGGATGATTTAGCTGGGAATTGGTCCTGCTTTGAGCAGGGGGTTGGACTAGATGACCTCTTGAGGTCCCTTCCAACTCTGATATTCTATGATTCTATGAATACTTATATACAATTTTTAAAGAGTTCATTTGCATATGTGAGAACGCAGACATCTTTATTTGAACTTTTCAAGCATTTACACCTGTTCAAGCAGTTGATAATTGCTTCAAGTGTTAATACTTGCAAAGTATGTATCCAGGTGTCAGCACTCAAATTTTGAACACAAAAAATGTGCCTGGATTAACTCCCCTTCAAGTATTACATCCTTGATACAAGTATGTGTGCCTGATAGTTACCTTAATACAGTATTCTAGCTACATACAAGTGGGAACTGACTACCACAGTCACAAAGACTCTGTTCTGGGGAACATCCTTGACAAAAGTGGAATTGAGCAAGGGGAAGGAGTCTTCCATGGGATTAGGCAACACAGTGAATACATGCAGCAGAGGAGAATCTGTATTTCCCAACCTCTTTTACAGGAGGCAAAGTAGAGAACAAAGTGGCACTGGAAGGGGAAAGGATAAAGTAAATGATTCTCCTCTCATTCCCTTCTCCAGGACTGTGAGAAACAGTGGGGAGAACTGTTAACCAAGCACAGGGATGCCACTTGTGCTGGGGAAAGATGACCCTCTCAGTGCAAGTTGAGACAAGTGGTTACCCAACATACCTTTCTGTGGGGCTGGGAAGGGCAATGAGACTGGGCAGTATGGCCGAATTCCCTCTCCCAAAAATACAGGGAACCAGATGCAATATCAGGCAGCACTGGGAGGAGGTAACAGGTATCCTAAGAAGATTGCAGAAGTAGATTTCCATCTTTCCTTTAACCCTTCTGCAGGGCCAAGGCAAACTCAAGCAGTACAAGGAAGAACAACCTTACCCAAGAGTCTCTCTATAAAGCCAGGCAGAAAGAAGTGCTGAGAATCAAGCTCAGACTCTTCCATCCCCCACCATTCCCAGCCATCCAGACGAGCAGAATGGGGGAGTAAGGAAAAAAGAGATTTCCCACAACCCCTTGGCATCATCCACACCAGGCAGAAATGGAGGCAGACCTCTTCCAGAGTACCCCTGCAGGACTCCAGGAAGCAGAAGGAGGAGTCTCCCCCGCATGGGACCTCAGGAGACACCTGGCAGGGGGATCCTCAAGAACAGTTAATTGACAGGGCAAGGGAGAGAAATTTAACCCTCTGTGCTGGCATACATACGGTTTCACAGCTACATTGTCACCACTTCAATTTTGTTTAATAAATACATCTTATTGTAAATATACTATGGCTTTCTTATACTTATCTCATGGAAAAGCATACATTTTATGGCAATTCTATGGAAAAATCAGTTTTCATTTTATTTTTTGTCTAGTTAGAAATATATACAACCTTTAAATCAGTGTTTGAGTATAAATTCTACACACATTCATATGTCAAATTAAAGCAACAGCTTAGAAACATTTAGAACACATCCAGTATTTAGATAAAGTAATATTTGAACTTCCTTAAGACAGTTTGAGTATAAGCCACAGGAAAAATACATATCAGATACATTTCTATGTTAGCAATACCGTCAAACAAGTAATCATTAAAAACATACATCAATACTATCCTAAGCAAGCCCAATTATTTTTTATTATATATATATATATAAATAAAAAAATAAAATAAGGACATAAAATATCCTGTTAAATGTAAATTACAAGGTTGCTGACCAAATTAAGATAAATATATAGAAAGTAAGACATGTATTATAAGTTTAAGTCAAAAGAAACACTGGACTATTATGACAGGGAAATTATGTAAGAATTATAAGGTGCTATGTGTGTATTGCTGAGGTAGTACAAAAATTGTACAATATATATTACTTGAGAAATAAACATATGATTGTGTACCTACACTATCAGTGCATAAACATAATGGAATAGTGTTAAAGTTTGTGCATTTCATGAATCCTTAACTGTGCAACATTATTTGCCTTTGGAAATAGTGTTTCCCATTTAATCAGTATTATATCATTAAGGCAGACTGAGCTCACTATCATGAACCTCTTTTTAGATTTCTATATTTTTAGATTTGAAATAATGTCAGACAGAAAAATTATATACACATTTATGATCCTAGGTGTAATCTATTTTTTCCTCAATTTTTTTAAACAAGTAAATTCTCTTACAAAGCTTAAACTTCAAGTTATAGTCACTATTTCTTTTTGCCAAGTTCTTAAACCATAACAAAATGTGGTAAGTGCCATGTTAAAATCTGAGGTACGTAGACAGCTAAAGGAACTACAGTAAAGTCAGTATAGTGTTGCTATAGTACTTGCTTTCTGCCAATCATTGCAGTTTCTTACTTTTCTCAAATAATAAAATGCATCAGAAAGAAAAGTTAACAATATGTAAGAAGTTTTAAATATATCATTATGAAATATAACCTACATTTATCTGCAGGCAGGCAAATACTGATATCAAAAAGAAGTATTGAAGGTTACCAAAGTGAAATCAAGCATCTATTTCTAGTCTATAATCCAATATATTATCAGCATACTTACTCTGCCATTACACGTCTGACATTATTTGCATACAAAGATGGGTTTTTCTTTTCCTCTTCTGAAGGTATATAAACAGGGAGGAACTGTACATAGAAAACTAAATTAAAGCAAAGTATTTAACATTCAAAAATATTTGTATTATAACATTACAGTGAAAAATAAAACAGAACTGCTACTTATATTTATAGGACTGCAACAATAATATCAAGTTGAAAGCAATCAAAAATAAAATTTAGAAAATTAAATCTTCGCACCCTGAGCTAAGAAAAGCCACATCAAATGCTATAGATGACCATACAGCTATGACTCTGCTTATTTCTACCTTACAGACACAGATTAAGTGATTGATTTCCTCTTCTGAGTTGGGGGCAGGAAGATATTAACTGTTTTCCCCAAACTCAATGATTCTCCATCTTCATTCTGCACACCATTTCATAAGAGAACATTTGTTTTATGGATCCTGCCCATACCTCTAATCTTTCAATCCTCCATTATCTGGTTCCTGGTTTGTTTGTTCCTGGCTGTGTGGATAACCAGGAAGAGCAGTGACCACACCAATTGTGGTAGTGATCCATACATTGTTTTGAGAACTTAGATGGTTCTAATTCATTAGGCATACTTACTGATTTCATTATCTATTTTAGGATTATATACTGCTGCTTATCCTAACATCCAAACACCTTTCACATAAAACAGATTAGGAATAGTGAAGATCTTAGTGGACATCATGGAGTCTCTGGCTTTTCTCCCTTTTTGGGTACTGTGAGCGAAAGCACCACGTATTCACATCCTACTCACGACTGTAATCATCTTTGTACAAAAGATACTTTATGAAAACTAACTCGCTGGTCAATAATATCATGGTGAAATGTATGTAGAAACACATGTAAAGTTATGAATTCTCCTGGCTTGCCGTTCTTAGCACATGTTCAAAACCATGCAGCCTTGCCCAGGCAGAAGTTTTCTGAATGAAGAAATGTGTGTTGACCTCAATTTATATATACTGTATATACTCGTTCATTACCCCGTTCGGTCTATAAGACGACTCCCCAAAATGGATAGGCAAAAATAGCAAAAACTGTATGATCCTTTCATAAGCCGACCCTATATTTCAGGGGTTGGAAAACTTTGGCTCCCGGCCCGTCAGGGGAAGACGTTGGTGGGTCGGGACATTTTGTTTACTTGAAGAGTCTGCAGGCATGGAGCCCCTCAGCTCCCTCTGGCCGCGGTTCGCCGTTCTCAGCCAATGGGAGCTGCGGGAAGTGGCGTGCCAGGTAAACAAAATGACAATGTATTAGATATTCAATTCAATGATTCCACAGAGTTTAAAATCATCACATTTTGGTGTAGACCCATTTATAAGCCGATCCCCGCTCTTTGATGCATCACCTTTTTACCAAAAATATTCGGCTTATGAACGAGTATATATGGTAAGTAGTAAAGACGGTCTGTGAGACAGCAGGCAGAGGAAATGGCATTTGACCAAACGCAAGTGAGAAGAAAGAGCATGGGAGCTTCCTTCACCACCAGACTCACCTTCTTTACTGTTTGAATAAACTTTGCTTTGAGGGGTAACCCTCAGAAGAATCCACTTAAAAGATTAACTGGACTATACGAGAAAGTGACAGAAAACCCCAAACTCGCTCTCTCTCTTTCATCTAAGACAACAAAGGAACCAGCCCTTTGATTTTGGGGGGGGATCCTGACCTGAGAATTTGATCAGCCATGTTGCTGGAAACATGGTAAGGATTTTACCTTTAACCATATTTAGATTATTAAGTTTTAGCTATGAAAAAACATTTCATCTTTATTTTTCTTGTACCCCATTTCTGACTTTAATACCTGATACTGGAATTCACTTAGAATCCTATCTTCTTTTGTTAATAAATTAACATTTTTTAATCCAAACCAATCCAGTGCTGTGTTTAAACTGAACTGTTTGGGAATTCCAATTAAAGTGGCAAACTGCTGAAGGGCAACTGACCTTTAATAACTGAACTATCCAGGAGTGGCCTGGATAGTGCAGAACACACATTGTTGGGAAAATTTGGCACTGGGAGTGTGTTGGGGTCAACCAGCAAGTAGTAACCAAGGCTGGTGGAAGCCAGAGTGTGACTGGTGTGTTGCTGACAGGCTGCTGGGGTCAGAGCTCCTGGACCAGGGCGGTAGCTATACACAGTCAGCGTGTGACCTGCATGTTAATAGGTTTTCTGTGAGTGGCTCAGGTTGGGAGCTACAACATCAAAGCATTGTGAGGCACCCAAGGTTGCAGGGCAGGTGGTGACAACCCCTCACTTATCTGGATGCGACAGGTGTCTAATACTGAAAATTTAACAGCATGACAAAAGAGTATTAAAGCGCCTCATGAGAAAATGACTTGCTTGTCAGAGGTATACAATTTATGAATGAAGTACCTTGTAACGCTTATGCTCTGAGGATATATCATCGGATTTCATTCTTGAGCTACTGGTGCAGTAAACCATAAATTTTCCTCACACAAAGTTTTTTGGGGATCTCTGTGGTACTGGTAGCTGTAACCTACAGTTTTCTTACTATTCATTAGTACCTCTTCTACTGCTAAAATCTTCTAAATCAATTCCTTTATCAGTGGAAAGCAATGGCTCCTAAATTTCAGTCAATTCAAACATACCAAAAAATCCAGATGTATGAATAACATTTCAACTTTTAAATAGAGTGGGAGGCCAGTGATATGCTGGATCAAATTCTCAAATCCAATGAGGCTTCTGACATAATGTGTTACTAAAGCTGACTTAAACCAGCAAAGGGACACATTGAGAATTTATGACAAGCAGAGTTAAGGACAATAAGGAGGTTGTATTTATTTATTTTAAAGTATATCAAAAACAAAAAGGAATCTTAACAAGGGTGTTGGTCCATTCCTAGACAGACATGGTAGAATTGTCAATCATAATGCAGAAAAGTCAGAAGTGTTCAATAAATATTTCTGTTCTGTATTTGTGACAGAAACAGATGTATATAGCATATGAAGAAATACTTTTCATTCTAACAGTAATTCAGTCTGACATTAAACAGCAGCCACTAATAAATTACACACTTAAATCAGCAGGTCCAGCTAACTTGCACCCTAGAACTTTAGAAAAGTTGGCTGAGGAGCACTTTGGATCATTAATGTTGATGTTCAGTAACTATTGGAACACTGGAAAAATTCCAGGGGACTGAAAGAAAGCTAATAATGTGCCAATATTAAGAACGGGTAAGCAGGAAGATCTGGATAACTATAGGTCTGTCAGTCTGCTATTAATCCTAGGCCAGCAGTTCGTGGGTCATGACCCCGTTTTAATGGGGTCACCAGGGCTGGCATTAGACTTGCTGGGGCCAAAGCCCAAGCCCCGTCACCCAGGGCTGAAACTGAAGCCCACCACCCCGGGCTAAAGCCTGAGCTCTGTCACCTGAGGCTGAAGCTCTTGGGGCAGTGGGACTTGAGCTTTGGCCACCTCCTCCCAGGGCGGCGAGGCTCTGGCAGGCTCAGGCTTCAGTCCCCCCGTCCTGGGGTTGCGTAGCAACGTTTCTTAGCAGAAGGGGTCACAGTGCAATTAAATTTGAGAACCCCTGTCCTAGGGGCAACAGAGCAGGTGATATGAGATTAAATTAATAAAGAATTAAAGGAGAAGAATATAATTAAATGCTAATCACTATGTGTTTATAGAAACTAGATCTTTTCCAACTAACTTGGTATCTTTTTACAAGATGATAGGTTTGATTATAAAAGGTAATATTGATGTAATATATTTAGACTTCTATAATGCATTTGACTTGGAACTATAAGACATCTTGATGAAGAAACTAGAATACA